AGTCCTATACTGCAGTCCAGCCACGCAGGGGGAGAAGAGAGAAGAGAGAGTCTATATTCTGGATTCACAGAGCCGTCATGTCGTCCATGATTTATACGTGTTGATGTATTTATATATAAATATTTCACGACAGGTTTTTCACACTTCTGACACAAACGTTAAACTCTCTCAGCAGCAGCCAATCAGAGTGGGTTCAGTCGCACGTGCCCAGTTGTGACTGTTACTGAGCTAAAGTTCAGGATAATTATTTTAATGATGAGTTATTGTCTCCTTCTGTTTTCAGTCTCTTCAGTCCTTGAGTAACATCCAGTACGATAGAACTACAGAGCTTGACCTGAGGACACATTACCCACAAATGCCTCCTGTGGTGGGACGCTAATAAGAGACTGCAGAGACTGTTCATTGCTGTGTGTTAAGCGAGCTTGTGTTAACGAGCAGTGTGGTTACACGAGCTGTATATTAAGAGGCAAGTGTGTTAACGAGCTGTATATTAACGAGCAGTGTGTTAACGAGGCTGTTATTAACGAGGCAGGTGTGTTAACGAGCCTGTATACTTAACGAGGCAGTGTGTTATACGAGGCTGTATGATTTAAAGAGGCAGTGTGTTAACGAGGCTGTATATTAACGAGCAGTGTGTTAACGGCAATGTATATTAACGAGCAGTGTGTTAACGAGCTGTATATTAGACGAGCAGGTGTGTTAACGAGGCCTGTATATTAAACGAGCTGTGTGTTAAGCGAGCAGTGTTGTTAACGAGCTGTATATTAACGAGCAGTGTGTTAACGAGCTGTATATTAACGAGCAAGTATGTGTTAACGAGCTGTATACTAGAGCAGTGTGTTAACGGAGCTGTCATACGTTAACCGAGGCAGTGTGTTAACGAGCTGTATGTAAATATGATGTAATCTACACGCGTGTTTGGCTGCGACAGAAGATATATTTAGATAGAGGACACATTTTATATTTCTTATTTGTTTTAAAGAAGTTTAATTATTTGTCTGTTTTTGATAAACTGAAGGATCAGCTGACGACCACTCTCTCCGTCGTCATGGTTACAGTATTTACTTCCTGTTTGTGATCAGTTCACCAGCAGATTCACTTTCTAACCACAGCAATAATAACAGTAGAAGAAGAGATAAACTCAGGGCGTGTGTGTGTGTGTGAGGGGGCGGAGCCAGAAGCAGGCCACGCCCACTCTGCCTTAAAGAAGTTTCTGATTGGTTGTCTCGTTGGTTTCTGTTTTATTATCGATCGATGGCCGATCGAATGAATGATCAATAATTATTGTCCCATAACGAACAAGCTAAATAGGACTTTATGTCACCAATAATCATGTTATAGCTCATCAATATTTAAACAAACACATATTATTGTCCTTACAGATCAATATTATTGATTATTAGTCCTCATTGTTTGATCAGATATCTGAAGGGATCAGGTTCAACATATTGAATGTTTTCTTTATAAATGTCGCGCTGCGTTCAAGGGCCAATAAACTGCTGACGATGTGTTTACTGACCAGAGGAAATGTAGTAAAAGGGAAAACTGTTGTTTACGATAAAATCCTTCATTTAAAACAGCCGAACTCAGGTGGACTGATCGATCAATAGTTCATCATTAATGAGTTTGGTTAAGACATTAAGGGAATGGTTGTTTTCTCTGTATGTTTCATATTGATCAGTATCAATAACAGCAGAGAACAGCTGATCAACTGATCAATGATATATTGATATTTTAATACATTCTGTCTCTATTCTGTATTTTTAATATTTTTCTGACACTGACTGTAGTTGACCTCAGGCCTCAGTGTATAATAATATAATGTATATTAATTGATCTTTACATTTCCTTCCTGTCATTAATCATCATCATCACCTCTAATTAAACCTGATGAAATATAATGAGAGGATGATTTATAGGAAACATCAGTAAGAACCATAATTATAAATATAATATTTGTCATTTCTACCTCCAGCAGCGTCTGTTTGTCCTGTAAGGACAACACGTCACATGTTCCACACATGTTCTAGAACGTGTATGATGTTCTACGTTCTGTAAGATGAATGGACTGAGAGCCTTTCACACACGGCACAGGCCTTTTCAAAATAAAAGCTTGCGGGACCAAGAGAAAAGTAAAATGTTTGTGGGAAATAAAAGCTGTTTAGTTCTTTAAGGGAAATGTTTATTGTTGTTTAGTATTTGTGTTTATTTCTGTTTAAAGATGTCAATAAATAAATAAATGGACGGTTTCTCTGAAGTGCCTTAAAACAGCAGCAGCACAGGGCTTTTATTCTGGAAGGATCCAGACTGATGAAGATTGTTACTCCTCATCCTCAATTTAATGAAGTATTTTCTTAAAAGTTGTAGATTTATTTTCTTTGAAATGAAAAATAAAATAATTCCTCTTCTCACAGTTTCCTGTCTGATTTTACATCGGAGTACTTTACAGAAGTGCTTTACAGCTGGAGTATAATTGAAGATTTTACATGTAAAATTATGAATGTTATAATATTGATCAGCACAGAATTAATCTACAACTCTCTTTAATCGATTTGAGTCCATTTGCATGAAATGCATGTTGCATTCTGGGTATTGACTGCATTTTCATACTTTTAATAAAAGATCAATCAATGGATTATTGGATCAATAATCGGCAGATGAATCCAGAAAAGAAATCATTAGTTGTAGTTGAAAATGAAACTGGGTTCCAGTGAGTCCTGGAAAACCTGGAAATTTAGTGACTGGTTTCCATGGAAACCTGCAAATGGATGAAAGTGAAATAATTACTGACTGCTGGAGTAAACTGACCTTTTTCACAGCAGCTGTTTTTACATGATGCAGTTGGGTAAACTCGACTCTCAGCAGGGTGAGGAAAGGTTCTGCTGCACTAAATGGAACGAAGCCCTAATCAGAATCAGCTGAGCTCGGCGTTTACAGAATGTAGGACAGGTGAGTCCAACAGGTGAGTTCACTGCCTGGAAATAGAAACAGTCCTCAGAGAATCTAAAGAGGACGGAACAGTCGCACTCAGCAGGAGCCTTTCTGATCACAGTCTTTTATTTTATCAAAGTGATGTGATTATATCACAGCTAATGGCCGTCTACAGATGTTTAAATCTAGAGGTCAAAGGTCAGAAACCACCTGAACACACACACACACACACCTGTCAGGTTAATCAGTGAGTGGTCACATGACTCCACGTCATCCAGCAGGTCCTCACAGAGACTCAACTGATCAATACAGGTCATCACAGAGTCACTCAGTCTGTTATCTCACAGAGAGCAATCAATCAATCAATCAATCAAGCAAAGGGCACATTTTGATTTGTGGAAACTTTAAAAGGAACTTTTTAATGAAGTTAAATGATCAATAATTAATAATAGTAAAGAATGGTGGAAGTCGCAGCTAAAATCAGTTTTTACTGATCAGAACAACAATCAATTTATCAGTGACTGCAATATTTATAATAATATAATAATGATATTATTAATAATAATAATCTTCTGAATGATTCATTAGTTGACCAAATAAAACAACTAATAAAGAAACTGAAAGAAAAAGAATGAAGGAAAACATAAAGAGAAAGAAAACAGTTTCAGTCTGTCCTGCAGAGGGCGCTGTGGTCTGTAAAGAGAGGGAGGGAGAGGGAAGGAGGTAGACAGAGAGAGAGACATAAAGGGGAGAGGGAGGGAGAGGGAGGGATGTAGACAAAGAGAGAGACATAAAGGAGAGAGGGAGGTAGGGAGACACATAAAGGGTTGAGAGGAGCAGAGGAAGCGTTCTGGATTGTGTGAAACATTGACACAAAGAAGAAGCTGCTCTTTTCTTCATCCATTCTCTCATTCACTCATTCTCTCTCTCTCTCTCTCTGTCTCTCTGTCTCTCGCTCTCTGTCTCTCTCTTTCTCTCTCTCTCATTCTCTCGCTCACTGTCTCTCTGAGGAGGACGATGTCTCTGCTGTCTGTCTGCAGGATTTATACTCAGCTGATCTCAGGTAAGATCTTTCTTTCTCTTCATCAGACGTTTTAAATGACACAGACCTTTCAGTGTGTGTGTGATCAATACTGAGATAATAATGCTAATAATAATAATAATAATAATAATAATAATAATTATTGAATTGAATTGAAATGTCTTTAATGTCCCCAAAGGGGCAATTTGGTTCACACAGGTAGCCAAACACATACTTCATTCGCACGAAACAACCCATAAAAACATGTAATCGATGAAAAATAAAGTCATAAATACACCATGTACATTATATATAAAATCATAATAATATAATACAAAAACAAATAATAATAATTTACTGTGACAATATATATAGTAATAATAATAAAGAAGAAATTACAGGAAACACAATGAAAGGATGAAACTTAAGAACACTGAGGAGTTTTTATTGACCTAAAGTTTCTGGTGTATTTGTTATTGATTGTAAACATCAGGTGACTTCCCGAAGGGTCTCGACCCAGAGGTTGAGTAACTGAACGTATATGGATTTATTGATTTTATTATTTCTAAACATCAGATTTATTTTCATTTCTTCTGCTTTTGGTATTATTGTTGGTTCTGTTGGGTTCCCATGTTTCTGTTATTGCTCCTGATGTTGGTTCTAATGGTTCTA